ACAGCCCCATTAAAAAGTGGGCAAAAGATATGAGTAGAAATTTCTCAAAAGAAGACATGCAAGCAGCCAAGGGATACATTAAAAAATGCTCATACTCACTAATCATCAAAGAAATGCAAAGTAAAACTACACTGAGATACCATCTAATTCCAGTCAGGATGGCCATCATCAATAACTCAAAAACCAACAGATGTTGGAGAGGATGCAATGAAAAGAAAACACTTCTACACTGTTGTTGGGAGCATAAACTAGTACAACCTCTGTGGAAAACAATGTGGTGATTCCTAAAAGATCTAAAAATTGACCTTCCCTACGACCCCACAATTCCCCTCCTGGGAATATACCTGGAGGAATGCAAATCGCTCTACGAAAAAGATATCTGCATACTTATATTTATTGCAGCATTGTCAACAATAGCAAAAATATGGAACCAACCGTGCTGCCCATCAAAAGTGGACTAGATTTTAAAAATGTGATGCATATATGCAATAGAATGTAACACAGGCATAAAGGACAAAATTATGAACTGCGCAGCAACTTTGATGACCTCAGAGTCTATAATGCTCAGTGGTCTATCACAGAAACCAAAAACTGAGTACCACATGTTCTCAATCATAAGTGGACCTTGAACGATCATCCTAATACTTAAAGAAAGGGATTGTCAGTAGTGGGAAACTGCCAGGGGAGATGGGGAACACCTCACCAATAAGGGTACCTGCATAATGAACATATGTATACCTAACCCTGAATTATACCCCATATTTAAAATAAAATAATAATTGTTTTAAAAGAAATTATATAAATTATAGATAAGTGCTCATTTCAAATTACGTTAAAGGACTAGGTAATTATGGTACATTTATACAATAAAGTATTGTCTTTGTTAAATTATTTTATTTAAAAATATAATATGAAAAATGCTTATAATGCTTGTACCTTATATTAACTAAAAAGTAGATTGCAAAATTATATATCCACTATAATCTATATTAGTGTACACTTACATATATACACAAATATAGATAAATTTTCAAATGATATTTGAGGAGTAGTAGAATTATATCATTTTAATAGTTTCCTTTGTGCTTTCTGTGTTCTACATTTTTCATAGTAAATTTAATTTACTGACTACGGCTTTTAAGAAACACTCCAACTTGATAATAGATTTTCTTTTCCCCCAGGTTTCTTTGTTTTTAAAGTGTTGGCACCTAAATAGGTTTAAAGAAAGAATATCCTGTAGCAATGACTTTGGCACAGATTAGGGCTGCCCATACTCTGTGGAGCACACCACAAACAGATGACAGACTGGCAGGACTGTTGCACTGCACTTTTCAGGTGCCCAGGCACAGGGAGGTGAGACTTGAATTGCATTCATCTCCCTGGGTCTCAATTTTCTCTTTTGTCAAAATAAGAGGTTGCAGTAACAATTTCAGCTTCAGAGCATCAAATTATATCTTCTCTTTTTATTTGAATATGTTTAAATGCAATGTTTCAAAACTTGAAATTACTCAGAAGTAATTTATATTCTCTCTTAATTTGTAAAATGTGAGTTTTCAAAATATTTACTAATGCAATGAAATGATGTCTTAGATTGCTTTAAAATAATCAAATGGGAGCAATGTAGGGCACAGTGTGAAGGAGCATAACTGAGAAGGAGCATTAGGCATATGTTGAAGCTGCATGATGCGTTCATGGAAGTTCATTAGTCCATCATTTCTACTTTGGAAAAGTTTTGAAATTTTCCATAATAAAAACAAGATTCCTTCCTCAGATCCTCTACCCTAACAAAACTAATATCATAATATCATAATTCATTTTGACCTTAAAGGAAAACCCTGCAAATTTAATGATATGACATCTCTACTTACTAACACAAAAGAACTATTTATTGTACATATGCTCCTTTAATTTCTACATCCTCTTGCCCTTTTAAAATTTCATCTTTCTTTTTAATAAATAAGATTATGAATGAAGAGAGGACAGATTTACTCTGCTTACAATTCCTAACCCCCAAAACTATAAATATATATATATTTTTTTCTTTTTTTTCTTTTTTTTTTTGCCTATCTCAAAGTTGACTAAATCTCATTCTTCAGGAACTGGGAGTTGTTTTTAGATGTCTTCAAAAGTAGAAAATAGGTTTTCTAAAGTTTTTTTTCCACTAACATATATTTTGATATGAATGGCTAATGTAACCCAAATCTAATATGACAGCTAAACTGCAAAACTGAGGAAGGTATTTCTTGCCAGAAGCAACTTTTAACTACAGAACCTGTTGGATAGTGTTAGAAAAAAGACATCTAAAGGGAATCATGGTCTAATTACTCAGTAAAGAATTAACGGATAAGAGTTCTTTAGATAATATTCATGCATAAAGACATTTTTTTTTTTTTACCTCACGTCATGAATACTTATAAAACAATTCTCACTGCAATCAGCATAGGCTAAATTTAAACAAATCATTGGCATTTCGTAGGTGGCATTTGCATTAGGGGAACTTCATTATCTGAATTTCCAGGATTCCATGTCCAAGTTCATGAATAAACTGAACTCGGTTTCCCTTTTCTCCGGCTTTGTTCCACTCTCCACCTCCACTGTGTTACCATTAACTACAATGAAAAACTTAATACATCTTTTTACAATGAGTTAATTGCTTAAATTTCATTTGTGTCTAGTATGACCTGGATTTTTTCTGCATCTCAATTATCAGTTTTCAGCCTTGCATTTTTCTGTGATTGTTTAATGCTTATCTGATTCTCTCACCTATAAACTTCAAGAGGGCAGAGACCAAGTCTGTTTTACCCATCACTGCATTTCCTTACATTTAGTGGGCACACATGCATATTTCATGACATTAAATGAAATAATTATTTGAAAAGTTCTCTATATATCGTGAAACCTAATTTTATCATTTTTGAAAACTACTTGGTAGGCCCTGATTAAAATGTATATTGTCCAATCCTTAAAAATGTAACAATGGTAACATTTTAAAATTGTTTTTGCCTGGACAAATTTTCATAAGAAATGTAGAGGTTTTCTCTGAAACATTTTGCCACTCATTGCAAGTATCTATTCCTAGAGATTTCAGCTAGCATGCTATTTTCAACCAAGCCGAATTTTACTTGAAGTGGCCATCCCTGATTTAGATACCATTACTTCCTGACACAAGATTGAATTCTTCTGTGATAAATTTTAGCTAAGCACATGTTTCTCATGCAATGTGATTCTTCACACTGTTCTATGAATTCATGACATGACATGGAAATAAAGAACGAGGCCAATGCAGCAAAAATCAAAAGCCTAATTTCTCTTTCCTATGTTTGATGTGCTAATACCATAGGACTTTAAACAAATGATATCTATTATGTCACTATCTGAAGAGGAGCTAGCACATCCAATACCTAGTTTTCAAAAATCCCCTTTTTAAAGGTAACGTTATAATGTATCTGTTTCTCAAGACAGGTTTTTTGTGTTTTTGTTTTGTTTTGTTTTGTTTTTTGAGTTGGAGTCTCACTCTGTCACCCAGACTGGAGTGTAGTGGCCACTCCTGGCCACCACAGCCTTGACCTGCTGGGCTCCGGTGATCCTTCCGCCTCAGCCTTCCAAGTAGCCAGAATTACAGGCACGCGCTACCACGCCCAGCTAATTTTTTGATTTTATTGTAGAGATGAGGTCTCGCCTGCCCAGGCAGGTCTCAAACCTGCGGGCTCAGGCAATCCACTCACCTCAGCCTCCCAAAGGCGTGGGATTACAGGCTGAGCCACCGAGCCTGGCAGGTTTTTTTAAAAACCATTTCGGAGACAGTGGTCCCTCTGTTACATTCTACCCATAGATGACTAGATTTTGATGCAAAGAATTTGCCAGATGTAATCCTTTGTACTTCCTAGTCAGAGAGCAAATAGTACATTGAAAAGCTAGAGCACGTTTTTTCATGCATCAGTTTCTATATTAGAGAAATAACTTCTGTTATTGCTTAGACTTGTGAGAAGCTATTGTTTTTCATACAATATGTTCAGAAAATATTTTTTAGGTGATTGTCCAAAGTCATAATTTAATACTATCTTCTTTTGAGCTCACCATTCTAGATAAGGATTAAACTTAAGACACCGATAAGCGTAGTTATTATTAATAACCCAGAAACAACAGGTGCTAGTGTGGCTTCAGAGAAAATGGAACGCTTCTATACTGTTGGTGGGAATGCAAGCTAGTTCAAGCTTTGTGGAAAGCAGTGTGGCAGTTTCTCAAAGATGTAGACATTGAGCGTCCATAAAATCCAGCAATTCCTCTTCTGGGAGTACACCCAGAGGAACATAAATCACTCTGCCAGAAAGATACCTGCACGTGTATGTTCATTGCATCACCATTCACAATAGCAAAAACAAGGAACCAATCCACATGCCCATCGAAAGTGAACCAGATAAAGAAAACATACACACGATGGAATACTACACAGCCATAAAGAAGAACAAAATCATGGCTTTTGCAGCACCTTGGATGTAACTGGAGACCATCATACTGAGTGAACTGTCACAGAAAAAAGAACTGACTACTCATGTTCTCAGTTGTAAACAGGCCCTGATCACTGGTCACATGAGCAGAAGGGTGAGATGGACAGACACTGAACACTGCTGGGGAGGAGGGAGAGGAGCCACATGGTAGCACTATCTCTGTATCTGGTCCACTATCAGGGGAGAGTGGGCCCACCAGAAGCCCAGACTTCACCTGCATGCAACAAATATTTATGCAATAAATCCTCACTTGGACCCCACAACTCTAAAATAACATTTTTAAAAAGACAAAGAAGTAAATGCTTTTAAATATATATAGTCTTTATAATCTAAAACCAAAGTATTAAAAAAATAACAACTTACAAGCAGTTCATGTGGTATAATATAATGTTTTTAAAAAATAATCTGACATTGTTCCTGATGTGACCACAAGGAAAAGCAATGCAGGCAAACAAACCAAAAGAAGCAGAGGGGGAAAAAGCCTTGGCTTACCTGCAGTTGAAGAAGACAAGGGACTCTTAGCCTCAGATTCTGCTGGTATTTTTTTCTCTTTTTTTGAGTCATCATTCTTTTCTTGCTCGTGGCTGGGTGTTGTAGACATTCCCATTGGGTTTTCTCTGCCAACTGAAATGAAGATTTTAAAAGATGCCATCTTTTCAGAATCACTTCTTTTTTTCTCAGAATACTCACCATATGTTCAGTTCTGCAAGTTTAAGTTTCGCTATTGTTTCCATTTCTATGCCTAGTCAAATCTTTTTACTCCGGATTACGTAGTTCTCGCAAAATGACTTTTTATTCTTATCCACAGGCTGTGTATGGATAGCGTCCCTATAAAACCTATTCACTGCTTTATAAATCCAAGCAATAGTTTAACATCACGATACGCATGAAACTACTTATTCAAGATGCTTTTCTTATAGATGCTAAATGAGAACTTTGGTAATAATTTGGTACCTTGCTTTTCCCAAAAGAGGAAACTGACTAAAAAGTTGTGCAAGCAGAACTTCATATGACCCTACTGAAGTATGAAATCCAAAGAAACATATACATACCTATAAATGAAGAAAAAATTAGCTACTTTTCTGCCTTTTATCTAGAAGCAAGTTGCTTTAGAGTCTTGTTCAGAAATAGTTATTGCCAACTCAGTTGAATAATGACTTCAGTTTTACAGTTTATGTTCATAAGCACTATTTATATTTAGGATTTCAAAACTCAAGTTGTTTGTGTTCATTCTTCAGGATCAGGCATAGGAAAGTTACTTACTTTTGAAATGGTGGTAATTGAAACTATGAATGTCAGGTTTCAGAGATTGCAACAGCAACAAAAAATTATATAGATATCTAATTCTATATAATAAAAAGTAATAGCAAATACTTTTTAAAACTACAATTGCAGTCAACAATGTCAGATGACTTATGAAGTAAGATGGCATACAAACTCATGGGTATGGTTGACAAAAATTAGCAATAGCATTGTTTTTTATAGTGTTTAGGTAATACAAGATATAATTTCATCACTCATAAACGAAACCTGAAACATTTACCTTAATACTATAAGAAAGAGATTGGCGGTAGTGGGATACTGCCAGGGGAGGGAGGAGGAAAACCCAACATCAATAAGGGTAACTGATGGCAAATCAGGTGAAGTGGGGACCAATGGGAGGCCCAAACTTTACCTGTACGATGGCCACTTTTATCCCTAATCCTGAATTGTACCCCACAAATTTAAAATTAAAAAATAAATAATTAACATTTTCAAAAGATATAATTTCAGACAATAATATGTTTTAAAACAGCAGACACTATAAAACATAGGTCTTTCTATACGGTTTATTTATAATATAATGCCTAGACACTGAAGATTGATGATAAAGAAATTTCAAAGTAGCAAAACATCAGAAATAACTAGAAATATGTTTTTGAGAGTAAATGAATTCTGGGAGAAAAAATATATTTAAAATTTCTATATATAATTAAGAGTTCATTTACCCATCTACAAGCAATATAGAAATCCAGGATTTACAAAGAGAAGATAAACTACCTTCCAGTCACTGCCATAGTAGTAAGAAAAAACCAATGTAAAAGATATAGCTTTTGGCATAGAAGGGGCTACAGCCCAGAGAGGAAACACATAAACAATGACCTCTGATGTGTATTGATGGGTGCTAAAACTGACACACGCACCAAGTACATAGGGAGCACAGAGGAGAAAACAATTTTCGCACCAGTCCAGAAATTAGAAACAAGCACAGAAAGGGATTACACAAGTCAATCTATGCAGAACTGTGAAAGGAGAATGAGAATCTCTCACCCTTCTACCCTACCTGCACTAGCTTCTCATGACTCTTCCTCAGCGTCTTTAAGACAACACCATATATTTTTATACAATACAATAGTAGGAGAATCAGAACATGAAAGATATTTTCTGGAAACGTTATCCAGTGTTTTCTTATCCCTCAGTACAGAAGGGTGTCCACTTTGCCTTTGAGCAAGGTGGGTCACAGAAAAAGTCCAATATCCAAATACCAAAGTGGTCCTCCAATATTAATACACTGAACTGGAGCAACTCTTACCAGCTCTTTGTCTGATTTTCACAAATTTTTTTAATGTGAAAACTTACCACTAGCAATGCAAAACCATACCTTTGATAAAGGCAAAAGAACAGCAATTGTCTACATGGAAATATTATCCAAGGGCATATATTACATATCTAGTTCGATCTGAATAATTGATGAGTAACTTCAGGTAGTATCTCCTTACATCCAAAATATAAGTTGTTTCAAGATCCACCAGACTACAAAGGCAGTAACTTTACAAAGTCAACTAGTAGAAGTCTTTTATTTTATTGAATACTAGCTATTCAAAAAGTAAAACAAAAACTTACATGACAGTAATTAATATAGTGTCACATTACTAGTATGTGTATAATTTAAATCCATATAGTCAATCATATTATCTGAACCACATTGCATCATTTTTTTATAAATAAGATTGTAATATCTATAGTCAGAATTGAGGAATTGGGTATGCAATAGTATTTCATTTAGATTTTATGCTTGAATGATCTTAGCAGACTAGAATGAAGCAAAAATAAATTTTATAAACATAGTTTTATGCAAACTTTCATAAGACTGAAAGAAATGCTTATTGTAATAAAAATGTAACACCTGAGCCATATCTTTAGTCTTGCATTTTTTCAGATAATTAATAGCCAGAGTCTCGTGATTTGTATATAAAGGATGGTTCATTCCAAAGAACTGGACTGGAATTAAAGCAGAAAAGACAAACTTTTTGTGTGTAAGTTGAGCCTCTGTCAAAATACTTGAAAAGTGTGAACATGTTCACTCTTTCCTAGATGTTTGTTAAAGCTTACAGCATACTGAAGTTAATGAAAAGTTACATTTGATATTGAGGCAGAATTTTTATTTATTTGTTTTTCCAACTTTTTTAAAGCTCACTTTTTTGTATTATAAAGAAGAGGAGGACAATTCAGGGCCAGGTTGTCAAACGTGGATTATGCCAGTACCCTTGTTGATGAGGCGTGCCCCTCCCTCCCCTGGCAGTTTCCCTCAACTGCCATTCCCACTCCCCCTCCCCTGAAGTTTTCCCACTACCGCCAATCCCTTTCTTATAGTATTATAATAATTGTTCAAGGTCTGCTTATGAGTGAAAACATATGGTACTCTGTTCTTTGTTTTTGTTTCTGTGTTTCAGAGTATGATCGACTCTAAATCCATCCAAGCTGCTGCAAAGTCCATATGTTTGTCCTTTTTTATGGCTGCATGATATTCCATTGTGTATATATACCACATGTCTTTAATCCAGTCCAGCTTCGATGGGCAACATAGTTGATTCCATGTTTTTGCTATTGTGAATAGAGCTGCAACAAACATACGTGTGCGGGTATCTTTTGTAGAATGATTTGAGTTCCTCCGGGTATATTCCCAAAAAGGGAATTGTTGGGTCATATGGAGGTCAATTTCTAGTTCTTTCAGAAATTGTCACACTTTCTTCCAAAGAGTCTGCACTAGTTTGCATTCCCACCAGCAGTGTAGAAGTGTTCCTTTTTCTCTGCATCCTCACCAGCATCTGTTGTTGTTTGTTTTATTAAAGATAGTCATTCTTTCTGGGGTTAGGTGGTATCTCAATGTGGTTTTGATTTGCATTTCTCTGATTATGATGCAGAATTTTTAAACACCTGGCAGTGTTGTCTTACCGTATGGAATTACAAGTGCAGGCTTATCAAAATGAATAAAACTTCCAAATAATTCGCATATCCAGATAGTCAATGGAGAACCTTCTCCATGGACTCCGTATAATAACTGCTTACTTAAGCCCTTTGGACCCTTTCTCCTGTATAGTACTGTGAATTGAAATTCATGAGCAAATGAAGATGTTTTGCCACATAAACTAGCTAGCACAGCTAAATGATAGGGGGATAAATGACTTTTATTATAAATTCTCAATATACAGTAAATTAAATCAAATCCTAACCAAACTGCAGATGAAGAAAATCAAATTACAGAGAAGTGATATCTCCAAAGTGATTAAAAGGAGTTATGAAACATTATCTTTTGCATTCTAGGACTCTATCAACTCTATTTGAGTTATAAAAGGTACACCATGATGTGTTCCTCCTTTCTTGAATAATCACAGCAAATACCTGTACAGTACTTACTATCGGGCATTATTCTAAGCATCTTATATGTTTTAACTCATGTGATTCTCACACCATCACTAAGTTAAGGTATTATTGGTCCTCATTTTACAGAAACAGTTTTGTGGTACAGGAGCAGCAAGGGCATACCATTGGCAAAAACCAGGACCTAGACATGGGCAGTCTGGTTCTCAGAACTTTATGTGCTAAAATCCCACCTTTGTCTGCTATACTTCTGAGCATATTGCTCTTTGATGAGTGGGCCCAGTCAATGAGGCTACCCTCGTCTTAGATTGGACAGAGCCATGCCATCCATGCGATTGTCTGCTATATCAGACCAAGCAGTATACAAAGTTTTACTTGCAATACAGGTGTTTCTGTGGAAGCCAGGGCTACTCCTTTGGGTTGCATGCTTGGAGATGACAGGTCCTTCTTCACAAGAAGGTCTCCACTGGAGTCTTACTTTTCTCTTTCTACCATGATCTCTTCCCCTATTCAAGTCCCCTTATCACTCAGGACATCTCACAACTTTAACCTTACTTTTCGGACAACTATGAGGGAACGCTTAAGCCATAAAAACATAAGGGACTGCTCTACCTCTGTACTGAAATAAAAACAATTCAAAACTCCTAACCATTTCTGGGTCTGTTGTTTTTGTTGTTGTTGTTGGTGGTGGTGGTGGTGGTGGTATAGGGAAGGTTCAATCTATCATATGTAAATAGTCTAGTTAATAAACACTATATGTGCATAGTCAGTTAGAAAATAATAAAATGACGTGGAGATTACTACAAACATTTGAACAGATATTCTGTCACTTTTTATAAAACCCTGCAAGGTAGAGTTTTTAACACCTAGAAATCTCACTGGGATTCTCTTCTTGTGAAAATAAAACATTAATAGAAACTATATTTTGAAGAAATATTTATGCTTTCAAATCCTAGGAAGTTCCTAGGATTCGTGATGCTCCAGTAAAATTTCTAAAGCGATGTCTCCTGCATTCTTTCCCACGCTAAAGCAGGAAGTTGCCTCCAGAACACAGAAGAAAATTAAAACCATCCATGCTCTAGAAACACAACTGAATTGTAGGGCCTGTAAATTAGTGACTTAATGTTTATTGGTTCTGTTAGTAGTAATACCCTAGGCTGACAAATACATGGCCTTTTATCCTCCCACTCCTACTTCTTGCCACAAATTACTTTTCTCCTTCTCATCTCCTGTTCTAATTATTTCAGTCTCTTCTCATCTTTTCTTCTCTGCCCTTTTATCACCATGCTTCCTTTCTTCCTGTGCTCTTTCCAGCATGGTTGCTGTCCTCTGCTAGCTATTTCTCACTCTCTTCTACTCCACCCTGTATCCGTCTGCTGACTTTCAAGTCATCTGTTTCCCTTCAGAGCTCCACGGGCAGATGGCATACCGATTTTGTTGAGTAGGAGTACCACTCTGTGCCAGCCTGTGGGAAAATGTAGGGTGGTGGGAATGGTGGTATGGAAGGCAGTAAATTAAAGTATACTAGCCAATCAATTTGCAAAATTTTAAATGTGGCAACTGAAGGCTGAGAAGGAATTGATGACGATAGAGCAAAGAACAGAGCCAGATATACCACGATGTTAAATCAAGCTCATTATATTCTTATTTTAATCTGTCTTCTGTAAGATATTATACACACACAAACATAAATTATAGGTAGATTCTGATAAGAAAATGGAAGCTAAATAAAAGTCAGAGTGACTAAGAAAATGACCTAGATTTTGACTGAGCCAAATGCCCAGAAGCACATCAGCAAAAAAAAAAAAAAAAATCAGACAGCAACCTAAACATCAAGATAATTAAAAACATAATAGAGTTACTTCATTAGCCTTTATGTTCAAGCAAATACATTTTAGGCTTAAATTGTTTAAATAAAGCCCTAAGATCTTTACTTCAATTTGCTAGAGAACATGAACTTAGCTATGATAGAAACCAGCTTCAATATATTCACATTTCTGTCCTATCCTGAGACTTTTTCAAAATCCTATATTTAATCTAAGTCCCATTCGTGTTGATCTTTATTCCATCTGCTTTTATACTAAGAGCATTAAAAATTAATAGCAACGAAGTTGAGAATATTTCTAACAGCATTATCCTTCTCAGGGTAGATAGAGATGTCCTTAAAAAACAAAAGATTTAAATATACACATGTACACACACACAGACATACACACACAAAAGCATATGTACAATATAAAAAGCTACAAAGGAATTCAATGTATCAAAAACTCTGTACCCAACATTATCTGAAAATTTGAGGCAAGTGATTGGTCTTAATTTCATTTTCCTCCATTACTTCTAAAATTATATCAAGCAAAAAAAACTAACAGCAGAAATTTGCTTTAAAAAGTGATGAAATTGTCAGACACTCTGCACAAACCATTATAAGGCAAACCAAAATCAAAGTATTTCAGAGTAAACATACATTGGATGACTTGTGGATAGAAGCAAACATTCTCATCCTCAGTGTAAATCACTGGCTTTGCCTGTCCATCTGACTGAAGTCCAACAAACAACCCGGGGCTCTTCGTAGATTCCAGGCTTATGGATGCATTTTTCAAATTCTTCTTAATTTTAAAATGACAGTATATATCTCCTGTACCCTACAATCAATACAACATAAATCCATAAATGTGAGCAAACACTAAAGGAAAGAATTTAAAACCAGTCGCTTCACAAGAATACAATTTTGCTTCATTTCAAATCATCATAATAAGTCTAGAACTTTTTGCATTAATTGTACTGTGTGCTTTATCCTGTTCCGTAAGATCCAGAAATAGAGAAAACATGAAGGACTGAGCCAAGGAAACATGTTTTTGGACAAAAGGCTCTGAGTCACTTCGGAGCTTCAACTAAAGACAGAATTGTGTATGCTGTTTCATTTCTTTGTTTGTTTTTTCCTTTTTTTCGGAGGAGGGGCTCTTGCTTTACATTTAATTCAGTTGTGTGGGATCTGAGGAACTTATTTATTCTAAATTAAGTGGTAAGGCTTTACCATGCCACACCCTATTCACTGTTGCTCTTAAAATACACACACACATACACACACAAAACAAAAAACTTCATAAACATATATAGTATGCATTATGGGCTCAATGATGTTCCCTCAAAATTTATATATTGAAACTCTAAACCACAGTACCTTAGAATGTGACTATATTTAGAGACAGGTTATTTAAGAGGTAGTCAGGTTAAAATGAGATCATTATAGTGGATCTAATCCAATGTGACTGGTGTCCTTAGAAAAAGAGGAAATTTTGGACGCTGACACAGAAGGAAGACAACATCAAGAGACACAGAGGGAGACAAGCTAAGGAGAGACTTTGCTCATCTATAGGTGAACACAGAACATTAAAATGCAAAATTTTCCTTTAGAAGATACTTTAAAACAAAGGAGAAAAGAGTATTTCTTGCCATAAGTCAAATTTACGTTCAAACGTAACCCAATTTTCTGTGTTATTCTACATTTTTCAGATTGAATTTTCATAAATAGTGTACACATAAATTACCCAGTGACCCATAGAGGAAAATATTCAAAACTGGGTACCTAGCAATAATCTACCTACCTTCAGATTATCAAAATATCTTTCCTTTATTTAAGGCAACTATAATCTAATAGAAATACTGCACCTTTCATTGCTTTTAAAGTTTTCTTAAAGGCTTTCAGAGTCCTAGCAAATGAGTTTCGTGAGAATGAATTAAAATTTGCAGTGGCAACTATTACTTATAATAGAATATTATATTCTGACTTTCACTTAAATGTGAGCTTCTTGTCAATAAGAAACAAGTCTCTCTCTCTCTCTCTCCATTTTATAAATACAAATTAAGCAATTTTTATCTTCTGCTCTTATTATGAATACAATAAGACTTTGGGCTTGATTTGTTCATGGTCAAGTAGAGAAAACAACCACATATACAAATAATAATAAGTAGATGGGCTAAGGATAGAACATTTGAGGCAGATGGACACCATGAACAGAGGCAGAGGAACAATTGAAAGCATGGTGTGAGGATGAACAGGTATCTTAAAGTTGTTGAACAACAGAGAAGAAGGTAAGTGCAGAAAAGTAGCCTCAGTTCGTGTGCACCTTAGGAAGTTTGGGCCTTACCTTAAACCATGAGAGCCACTGAACAATTTTATGGACAGATCTTAAATTGCTTTCTGGACATTTCATAAATATCCTTCTAATACCTTTCTTCTCTAAAAGAAAATCTCATTATTTACTCAATCAATTATATACTCTTTTGTAGTTTTCTAATAATTATCAACAGAACCTTACTTCTCCCATTCTTCAAGAATGCAGTTTTAAAACTCCCTTTTGTTTTTTTTTTTCTCTTTAATAGACTTTACTTTTTAAAAGTTTTAGATTTACAAAAAAATGGGAAGATAGTAGAGTTCCCATGTAGCCACACCCACTTTCTTCTATTATTAACATCTCATATTAGTATGATATATTTGTAATAATTTCTGAACCAATACTGATACATTATTATTGAATAAAGTATCAACTTTATTCACATTTCCTTTATTTTTACCTAATGTTCCTTTTCTGTCCAGAATTCTATTGAGGGTGCCACATTACTTTCAGCAGGCATGTCTCTTTAGCTTCCTCTTGGCAGAGAAATTAAATGCTAAGAACAACAATAACAAAGCAAACTTTTCTCTTCTCCTCTTCTGTCTTCCCCTCTCCAACTCTCCTCTCCTCTCCTCTCTCTGTCATTAATAGAGACATGTCACAGGGACACAGATGCAAACTGCAAGAGTGACAATTTCTCCCAGATTCTCCTTGTTTTTGATGACCTCAAGGTTCCGGTAAAATATTTTGTAGACTCCCCCACCACTGGAATGTGTATGAAGTTTTCTCATGATTAGAAAGGAGTTATGGGGTTTTAGAAGGACACCACAGGGGTAAAGCTTCATTTTTATCACTTCACTTCAAATGTACATATTATCAACGTGATTTGTGACTGTTGAGGTTGGCCTTGATCACCCAGCTGAAGTAGTGCTTGGCAAGCTTCTCCACTGTACAGTAACTCTTTTTTTCCCCTTTCTACACTGTGTCCCCAGGAAGTCACTATGTCAGCCTGAAACTGAGGGGTGAGGCGTTATGCTGCAACTAACTCCCTGAAGGCAGAGTATCTTATTCATTTTTCTTTCCCATTTATTAATGTAGTTAATCATTTGTTTATATCTCTATGAACTCATGAATACTTATTTCATACTTTGTGGTATAATCCAATACATCTTTATTTTGTTGCTCAAATTGTTCCAGCTTTGGCCACTGGGAGCTCTTTCAGTTGGTGTCTGTGTCCCTTTGACATATCTCCATTAGTGGCAGAGAGAGGAGTTTTTTTGTTTGTTTGTTTGTTTTGTTGTTGGTGTTGTTAGTACTTCCTTAATTTCTGGCACTACGTGCTCCAGGTTCATCTGTATATTTATGGCCACAGAATTATCTATTTCTCCAAGAAGCCCTAATTTCTTTCATTGGAGAATAGTATTAGGAAACAAAGTCTAGGTACCAGGTTCTGCTTGTTCCCAATGAGATGGTGCTTCTAGGACTTCTCATCTAATGGAGCACAAAACATGTGTGTATACTAATATATATATATAATATATATATATGGATAATTCATATATAAACACATATATTTGTGAGTAGTTCTATGTACAAACTTCCACATCTATATTGAGCTAAAGATGACCCTGTATCTGTGTCTCCAATTCTAATGAATTACTATGGATCCATTAAATCATTCTATGGATCATTCTGGCTTCTTTTTATCCTTATCCATAAACTCCCACTCCAATGGTGAAAAATCTGACTCCCACCATCTGCCATTCATTTACTTAATTGCTTCATTCCAGTATACATACATAGTAGTATCAGAATTATTAACACATGTACTTATGAGAAACAACTTTATCAACTAGAATACCGAGCTTAGGTGTAATTTCATTTTCTTTTGGTCTTACCAACTCCATTCACTTCCAAAGATACTTAGGCCAGTACCTTTTCCCACCATCCCCTTCATACTGGCTCTTTCATATATTAGTATAAATGTTTATTGTCACCATCTGCATTCTTTCCTGAGATTCCCAAACTTCCTAATGATATTTTATTTGCATATGTTGAGACTCACTCTTTGTGCTGCACAGTTCTATGGGTTTTGACAAAAGCATAATATCTTGTATCCATTATTGCAGTAGCATATGGAACAATTGTACTGCCCTAAATATCCCCTATGCTTTACTTGTTGATCTTTTCCCTCAAACCCCTAGCAGCCACTCACCATTTTTCTGTCTCTATAGCTACACATCTTCCATAAGGTCACACAATTGGAATTGTATAATATGCAGCCCTTTCACACTGGCTTCTTACATGTAGTAATATGAACTTACATTTCCTCAATGTCTTTTCATGACTTACAGCTCATTTCTTTTTACTGCTGAATGGTATGCCATTGTATGGATGTACCATAATTTCTCCATTCACCTATGGACGGACTTCTTGATTGTTTCCAGTTTTCGGTGACTATGAATAAAGCTGCTATAAACACTCACAGGCACATTCAATTTTGTGAAGTGTGTAAGCTCTGTGTCTCAATTCTTTCTTTTTCTATTTTTTTGCATATAGACATCCAATTTATCCAACAACATTTGTTGAAAGTCTATTCTTTCTCCATTGAGTTTCCTTTGCTCTTTTGTCAAAGATCAGTTATCCATATTTGTGTGGTTCTACTTCTAGTCTCTCAACACTGCTTCACTAATGTCTGTCTCTTTTCTTTCATCAATATCACACTGTTGATTTCTATAGCTTTATACTAAGTCTTAAAGTCAGGTAGCATCAATCTTTGTTCTTCTTCACTATTGTGTTGGCTATTCTGGGGTGTTTGCCTTTTCATATAGACTTAGGACCCATTTATTGATACTCACAAAATAGGTTGCTGAAATCTTGATTGGGTTTGCATTGAATCTATAGATCAAGTTGGTAAGAACTGGCAACACCGTAGAGTCGCCAGTCTATGAACATTGCCTATCTGTTTGTTTATTTAGATTTTCTTTTATTTTTTTCTTCAGAGTTTTGTAGTCTTCCACTTACAGATCTTGTATATATTTTGTTAGGTTTACACCTTTTTTGTACTGATATAACTGGCATTATGTTTTTAATTTCAAATTCTAATTGCTCATTGCTAGTATATAGAAAAGCAATTGGATTTTGTATAGTAGTTTGTTTATTGCAATCTTGTTATAATCACTTACTAGTTCTATTTTTTGAAGTTTTGTCAATTCTTTGGGATTGTCTACATAAGCAATCATGTCATGTTTCCTTTTGCTGTTTTACTGCATAAGCTAGGATTTTTAGTACAATATTGAATAATAATAATGGTGAGAGGGGACATCCTTTCTTTGTTCCCAATCTTTGTTCCTGATCTTAGGGATCCAGTTTTTCTCCATAAAGTATATTAGCTGCAAGATTTTTGTTGAGAAAGTTCCCCCATTCATAGTTTACTGATAATATTTACTACCAATATTCAACTAGTCATTAATACTGAGTACTCCACAACAAGATCTACCAAATTTGACTCAAACATTTCAATATTG